TGGTAAATTTGAACCGCTGACCAATATAACCATTCCAGTGTGTATGGAATTGTGTCTCATAGTGGTTTTCATTTGTATCTCTCTTCTAGCTATTGTTAGATTAAGAATTGCTTAATGTGTGTGTTAGTCTGAGTGGACTAGAGAAACAAATATAGGAACACTGTGTAGATGGTGCAGGACCGGCCAGTGCTTTCTCCTGTGGTGCATGAGGTCGCTATGGGCTGGAACCGACTCATTGGCACCTAACAACAACAAGAACACAGCTTTGAGTTATTTATTAAGTAATCATTCATGATTTATCTATATTAGATTGGAAAGCTAAGACAAGGAGGGTTGTGATTTAGATTTTTATAGTAAATGGCTATTAAATTATTATTTTCAAGTATGAGAGGCATTCCACAAATTTAGGGGCATACCATATTTATATAAGCCTCAGAATACTAGAATAATGGTCACCATAATTTCTTGGTATGTGTTCTTTGGAGCTGCCTAAATTGCTATAGATTTAATCCTTAACATAAAACTAGTCCAGTTGCACTTAAAAAAAACAACCCAATTAACTATATATCTAAAAACAAAAAATTAGTTACAGAACTATTGTTTTTAATTGAAAGGATTATTTTATTTGATGTAATTTCTATATAGCCTGGTCTCATTATCTGAGACTTTTCATTTTGCCTTTTTTAAAAAAAACTGTTTTGGGTGCTTGGATTTAAAAAAATCATATTTTGTTTTGGTGTTGAGAATCTACACAGCAAAACATACACCAATTTCACAGTTTCTACATGCACAATTCTGTGACACTAATTACATTGTTTGTGCTATGAATCCATTCTAGCCTTCCCTTCCCGTACCCCATTAACATAAACACATTATCCCCAAATTTTCAAGTTGTGGTTAATATTGATAGATATTAAAAGAGCTTATTGCTCAACACAGACATTTAATACTAGTGAAGCTTATAGTATTAAGTTATGAGGTGGGGTAGGGGGCCAGCCCCCACCCACTACTACTACTACCCACTGGTTCAGTAAGCACAATTGTACGGTTGAGATATATAAGTATTATATTAAAGTTATAGAGAGCATGAGAGATATTTACAATAATGCAGTCAGACACATTACATGCTAGCATTGCTCACCTCAGCCCAGCTTGGTGGTCCACGTGGAGAAAGGGGGAAGGGAAGGAGGGCGAGGGAACAAGGGAGAGAGGACTGGAGAGGAGTGGGCGTAGAGAGGGGGGTGACCAGGGAGAGAGAAGTCAGAGAGCTTTACATTGCTGACCCACGCCTATATACCTTTTGGGGGCATGCACGCCCACTAATTACAGGTAAAGACATACGTCACAGGAAGGGGTTACACTACAGGTTACACAGTAATGAGGGGGTGGTCCAGGGACATAACATGCAACAGGAAGAGGAGGGACTGGGGTATACATGTGACAAGATGGGTGGATCCCAGATTCAGGGTGGCAGCTTAACCTTGACCTGTTCCCTAGGTCTCCATAGTAACCATTATCAGTAGGGTGTAAACTCTGCCTCAGGAGCCTGTCCATTGTCCCCAGTGGCAGGGAGCCTGGCCCACTGCAGTTTGGCAACTGATTGCCCTCAGGGGGGAGGGGCGCCTGTGCATCTGACCTCCCCCCACAGAAGCTAAACTATTATTTGTGTTTACAAGACTTAAGGGGATACTTTTGGTTTATGGTTTAATGATATTCTCAGGGCAATAGTTCCAGGGGTTCAGCAAGCCTCCATGGATCTGGATTCTGATTGAATTGTTAATGCTTTTCTGCATTCCCCCCCCCTCCTGATCAGGATGGTAACTGGAAACCATCCAGTTCTTTGAGTCTCATGGCAAAGGAGGCAGGTGTTCATGGAGGCAATTACCGTATATGCTCATAGATAAGCCGAGTTTTTCAGCACATTTTTAAAGCAGTTTTTTGGTAAAATTGGGTGCCTTGGCAGATATTTGGGTTGGCTTTTCCTCGAGTATGTACAGTAGCTACCTACCCATTTTCTCTTCCTAGTTCTAACTTTGTCCACTGTTGCTCCAGGCAAATCCAGATCATTTCTATCTTGAATGACACTTGCAAGCTTTTAGAAGCCCAGGCACTATGAAGTAGGAGGCAGAACTGAAGTGCTAAATTAGGGCAGTTTACTAGGATGTCCCATTAAACCAAGACTCTGAACCTCCCAAGCAAAGAACCAAATCCCATGAGGTTTTATAGAATCAACCACAATAACCACTTTTTAATTTTTGGATCATTGTAAATCTTTCTCTCACATAACTTTTGCCAATTCAACTTTTATAGGGTGTACAGTTTATTTACAGCAATTATAAAACTGCAACCCTATCCTTCATCAATGTGATTTTCCAGCACTGTAAATCCAAACTCAGAACCCCCTTTGCCTCCTCCTCCTGCCCACCCCTGATAGCCACTAATAAATGTTGGTCTCTATATATTTACCTTTTCTTGTCTTTCTGTATAAATTTGGTTCTTTTGTATAAATAATTGTCCTTTTGTCTTATTTCAATCAGCATAAGGTCTTTCAAAATTTATCCATATTGTAACATCTATCAAGATTTTGTTTCTCTTATTGAGTAAGTGCTGTGAATGTACCACATTTTGTCATCCAGTCGTCTGTTGATGGGCATTTAGAACTGCCACCTTTTGACTATTGTAAATAGGGTTGCCGCGAACATTGTACACAAATCTGAGTCTCTGCTTTCACGTCTTTGGGGAATATACCTAGAATTTCTGGATCATTTGGTAGTTCTATTTTTAGTCTCCTAAAGGACTACCATACTGTTTCCCATAACAGCTATACATTTTGAATTCCCACCCACAATGGACAAGGGTTACAATACCTCCACATCTTTATTAATACTCATACATTTAAAAATAATCTATACTCAAACCCAAACTCACTGCCATAGAGTTGAGGGCAACTCATAGTGCCATAGGACAGAGTAGAACGGCCCCTTTGGGTTTCCAAGACTACAATCATTATGGGAGTATAGCCTCATTTTTTTCCAGAGGAGCATCTGGTAAATTTGAACCGCTGACCAATATAACCATTCCAGTGTGTATGGAATTGTGTCTCATAGTGGTTTTCATTTGTATCTCTCTTCTAGCTATTGATGTATTGAGCATCTTTTCATGTGTGTGTTAGTCTGAGTGGACTAGAGAAACAAATCCACGGAGACTCGTGTGTAAGAAAGAGCTTTATATACAAGAGCAATTGAATATTGAGAACACATCCCAGATCAAGTCCATAAATCCTATATTAACCCATATGTCCAGTACCAGTCTGTAAATTCCTCTTCAGACTCACGCAACACATGAAATGACACCGAGTGCAGGAAGCTCACAGCCCAGTGGGTGGAAGTTGTGGATCTAGTGGCAGTGTAGGCATCACAGCACTGGCGTGGGTCTCCTTGTGGCTCCTCCAGCTCCAGGGCTCTAAAGCAGCTCCATGTGTTTTGTCACCAGGAATACCAAACACAGAGTGAGTGTGTGTCCCGCCTCCAGTGAGCTATTTATCTTCTTAGGGCCTCCAAATTAGTTTATCAAGCTGTGACTTGATTGACAGGCTAGATTCCACCCTTCCGCAAGTTAATGACAGATTATGTAACTGTCACAATGTGTTTAGTGGCCATTTGAATATCCTCTTTGATGAAATGTGTATTCAAGTCCTTTGCCCATTTTATGATTGTGCTATTTGTCTTTATGTTTATGTTGCCAAAGTTTTATATAGTTTTTGCTTCTTAGATTCTTGTCAGATAAGTGGTTTCTGAAGATTCTCCCATCAATTAACTTATCTCTTCACTTATTTTATTGGTAAAGTCTTTTTTTTGGTAAATTTTATGAGATCATGTTTATTTATTTTGTCTTTTGCTGTTTGAGTTTTTATTATATTAGGTAACTTGTTGTTGAAAGCTATTATCTTGGCTTGTTCTTATAAGGATTATATGGTTTCTGTTTGCATTTTTATATCCTTAACCCATTTTGAAGTTGCTTCTGGGTGTTTGGTTTTTGGTTTGTATTCTATTCCACTGGTCAGGGTGTGTATTTGTGTGTGTTTGTGTCTATTGTCACAGCAGTGGCAGGCTGTCTTTATTACTGTCACTGTGTAATCTGTGTTGGATCTGAAAGTCTGAGGCTGCCTCCCTTCTTCTCCTCCACCAGTGCTGTAGCTGTTTGTGGCCTGTTGCCAGTCCATATGAGGTGTGGATATATTATTCATTTCAATTAGGCTTGATTGTAGCCACCCTAGGCCAGTCGTTGTCTAATTTATTCATTTAAAATTATTGTTTATCCTTAATAAGAGAATAAGTAAGGAAAAATAGGAGGAAAAGCTATCCTTTAAAAACCTCTGTATTTATCAATGCATGAACATTATCTATACAAGTATTACCAAATGAGAAGGAAGTATTCCTTTATAAAATGACAAGTGCTTTTAATTAGGATGCATATGAAACCAAGGGAACCCTCGTGGCACAGTGTTGAAAGTGTTGAAGTGCTAACGGACAGGTGAGGAGTTTGAACCCAGCAGCCGCTCAGAGGGAGAAAGCCTGCTTCAGACACCCAGCCCGAGGGAGCAGTGCCACTCTCCCTGGAGGGTCTCCATGAGTTGGAAGTGACTCAGTGGCAGTGGGTTTGGGTTGGGCTCATGAAACCAAGCTTCTGACAACTGACATGCATTTTGCAATGTGGACACTCTTTTAGGAGGACTTACTTGAAGAGCTTCACTGGATGATTGCCTTTAAGGATTTCGTTCTAAGGAGAGGCTACCGGATGCCCAGGGTGAGTCAAGGGTCATTTGGAGCAACCTGCTGGCGGGTCTGCAGCTCACGGTTGTTGGTTGGAAGGGCTTAGCACTCTGACAAAATCACAACCCGGCTTTTGCAAACACACGTGACTCAAGACTCCAGGATGAAAGGGTGTGCCTACTTCCCAACAAGGATCCCCTCGGGGGTGGGGCTTCCCTTTTGATTCTGCCTCCCTGATTCCAGTGTTGCCAAAGTACTGTCTCCTGGCCAATGCTTGGCCCACTTTCCTTGGGTTTGGCCTTAATGAGATCAAAGTAAAGGGGTGGCGGGGAGGTGTCTCCATGTGCCTTGTACATTCTGTTACTGTACCACTCATTTCTTGAGGGAGTATTTAAATCTCCGTGGCCTCCTTGTCTAAGGATGAATCTGTGGTGTGGACCAGGGCAATCCCAACCAGAGTTGGGATTTGAAATTTTGTCATACTGCAAGCAATCTTTGATTCAGCTTCTTGTAGGATAGGTCAGTGTCTTCTCTCTCTGCGACCTTTCTCCTTTTTGGTCTGGTTTCCCCTTTACAAGCTGCTCCAGTGCACAGTAGGGAGCAGTGGAAGGTTGACAAGTGGACTATTTAGCAGGAGGGTTTGCAGCCTGGAGTTATGTACCCACACCAGCCCTGCCGCCACAGCAGGACCAGATAGGTACCTGGGGCTGAGTCATAACTAGTCATACATGACAACTCAAACGTTTGCCTGTGTAGTCTGTCTGCACATCCCACGGGACCTGCAGGAGGAGGTACAGCCAAGACAGGCAGCTGGTCAAACAGTCTTGGAACTCGGATTTATTTTGGAGAGAGAACTAAGCCTGGCTTCTACTTACTGACAAATAGAAATACTAACCATGTTCAAATGCAGACTAGCTTCCAAATTAAACCAGATCATATGCAAGCAAGCATAGCTGTGAAGACAGGGTTAACAGATTTTGAATAGGGTAGATAGACTTGTTATATGTTTCTAACTGCCTAATCTGTATACAGGAGTCCCATAAGTGGGTTTATATGTACAATGCAAGAAAATATGTCTAAACTGTGTTTACATGACTAGTTTTCTTAATTGTCTCTGACAATATATGCCTACAACATGAGAGTAAATCAGAAAGTCTTGCTACGAGGGTACCAGTTCTCATGCACAGGTTTATGCCAAACAAAGCACGCTTAAACTTGCATCCTTCATCAGTGGATGGCTGCGGACAAGCTCTCTCAGGAATACACTTGTCTTGGTCTCCTTCCCAAACGGGCACCCCAGAGGGCGGAGTAAGACTGCCCCCTGGGGTTTCTGAGCCTGTCCCTTTTCTGGGAGCAGACAGCTGCTCATCACTGTCGTGTGGAGCAGCGGGGGAGTTTGAACCCCCGACTTGTTTCTCATCAGCCCCACACCGAACTCACGGTGGGACTAGGGCTCCCGACTCTCCTTACAGTGCTGACCAAGAGAAAGGTCTGCATGAAACAATGCTAGACAATGTCAAGGCAAAGGAGTCGGCTAAGGCGATTAGGGTACCTGTTTGTTTAATTCCAAAGGTTAATCTTGATAGATTTTATCAAAGGATACAGGATAATCACTAGGGCTCGTGATAGAGAAATTTTAAGAAAACTACACTGGTGGGAAAAAGACCAGGGAAGTTTTACTGAGAGCTTGTTTTCATCACGACAATGCACTGCTCCCGCTGTGAGGGGAGCGAGGATGGCTGCATGAGAATTCTGGGTGGGAAACCTGACCTTGTTCACCTTCCAACCTTGATCTTGCTTCTTCCAACTGTTTCACTCCTGAAACTCAAAGACCTTTGGAAAGGAATACAAGGTGAGGCTGTTTTGACATGGTGCAACTCGAACAGTACAGAATTATTTTTAAAATGTATTTTTTTCTAACAGTTTTATTGGCACATAATTTACATATCATACAATTCAGCACTTCAATCAGTGGGGACCCAGGGCCCATCTGTGGGAAATTGGACATCCCCTTGCAGAAGGACTGCGGGGAAGAGATGAGCCAGTCAGGGTGCAGTGTAGCAATGATGAAATATGTAATTTTCCTCTAGTTCGTGAATGTTTCCTCCCCTGCCCCCACTATCATGATCCAAATTCTACCTTACAAATCTGGCTGGACCAGAGGATGTACACTGGTACAGATAGGAACTGAAAACACAGGGAATCCAGGACAGATGAACCCCTCAGGTCCAGTGGTGAGAGTGGCGATACCGGGAGGATAGAGGTAACGTGAGGGAGAAAGGGGGAACAGATTACAAGGATCTAAATGTAATCTCCTCCCTGGGGAACAGACAGTAGAGAAGTGGGTGAAGGGAGATGTCGGATAGTGTAAGATATGACAAAATAATAATAAGTTATAAATCATCAAGGGTTCATGGGGGAGAGGGGAGAGAGGAGCTGGGAGGGAGGGGGAAAAATGAGCTGATGTCAAGGGCTCAAGTAGAAAACAAATGTTTTGAGAATGATGATGACAACAGATGTACAAATGTGCTTGACACAATGGATGTATATATGGATTGTGATGAGTTATATGAGCCCCCCAATAAAATGATTTAAAAAAAAGAAGAATTATACAATAATTACCACATCCATTTTAGAGCACCTCCCCCCACCCAACTCCCAGAATTCTTTAGAGATGGAAATGCCACTTTCAATATGGTGTAGACCTAGATGAAGGATATGTTGAGAAACAGTAGCTTCCCATTTTTGTTTTTGTTAATAAAGGTTTCTATGATTCAGTAGCAATATTTTGGATTTACCTTTATATATGTAAATATACTGAAGTATAAATATAACTATATGAGGTATATATATGTGTTTATATGCATATACTTTCACTCCTATTTGGTCTTGCTTGTTATTATGATTCATATATTTTATGTTAACATTTTTAGTGACAAAATAAATATTTAGAAGTTTTGACTTGCTCCCTGTTGGTTTAATCCATTCCATTGATGAACATGTAGTTCAACTTTGGACAAAGGGAAGTGTGCCTGACACCCTGGCTATCTACTTCTCATCTGCATAACTGAGGAGAAATGACCCCCTGGTTGTAGCTGAGTTCTCTGAGATCACCTGTGACCCCCAAACCAAACCCTCTGCCTTCAAGTCGATTCTGACTCATGGTGACCCTGTGAAGGCTTTCCAAGATAGTAAACCTGTCTGGGAGCAGAAAGTTCATCTTTCTCCTTGGGAGCGGCTGGTGTGTTTGAACTAACAACCTTGTGATAAGCAAGCTCACCCTTAACCTGATAGCACCCTGGAATATTCTGTCTCTATAATCTGATGTCTTGTATCTTCTACTTGATCTATAAGATATGAACTAAATGAGCGGAGGGAATCGATAATAACAAATGTGGCACATCTATGCGTGTCTATGTCTGCTGCACTGTTATTTATTTAATAATACGGTGGACATTTTGTTCTCTCTCCATGCATGGTGTGTATACTCACATTCATCATTGCTACATGAGCACATGTAACTTATAGATGCATTCCAGTGTCTACTTTCTGCACTACCCACCGCACGAGAGGTGAGCTGGGCTGGATCACGACAAGTGTGAATGATTTCTGGGCAGTACTGATATTGAGCACCTACCTTTCCAAGACCAACATCTATCATCGTCAGATAGATGTGTTTTTGTGTAGCCGCATGTCCATGTGGGAGACTAGATTGGGGACGGTAGTGAAGTGAAGAGAACTATACAGTGTCAGTTCGCTAATCTAATATCTAATGAAGGTTTTCCCTCTTTATTTCTAGTTCCTTGAGAAGATGAATAGCAGAAAAGAATGTAAATCTAAAAGTAATAAGATTCCTATAAAACAATCAACAAATACTAAATGAAGCATAGAAGAATCTTGGGAAGATGGTTAAACAGTTGCAGAATCTGTTTTAAATTTACTACGCATTGACTACTTCTCTTTCTCATTTTACACATCAAACGGAATTTATGATATGTACCTGTGATAGTTAGGTTTTTTGGTGCCAACATGGCTCCCATAGGATCATGTGGGCGGAGTTTAGCCTGTCAATCAGGTTGCAGCTTGATTGGGGGCAACTGAGATAGTCTCTCTGCAGCTGGCTTCTCTCTCCCTGGAGGCGGGCCACACCCTCTCTCTGCTTTCACCTTCCTGTTGACAAGCCAAGTAGAGGCACATGGAGACCTGCGAGAGCCCTGGAGATGCTTCCACCACCACTGGATCCACAACTTTGCACCCACTGGCCTGTGATCTTCCTGCATGTTGCATCATTGCATGTGCTGCGTGAGTCTGAAGAGGAATTGAGGGACTAGCATCAGACTTATGGCATCAGAATTTATGGACTTGATCTGGACTGGGCTGGGATGTTTTCTTAATATACAATTACTCTTTTATATAAAGCTCTTTCTTACACACCCATAGGAGTGTCACTGAATTTGTTTCTTTAGTCAGCCCAAACTAGCACAGTGCCTGACCATGGCTATCCTACGTTCACTCAGCAACATCCTCAAGCTAAATGCTTAATGCTTATAAGCAATGAGCTGTTTCGTCCATTAACCCATATTTCTTTAATAACATTTTTTTTCATGTCAGATAGGTAATGTGCCGAGGTCATAACAAGGTTTATGGGAGGCACATGTCACACAAATGCATGAAAACCCAATCATCATGCTTATGAACCAGAAAAGGATCATCTTTAATAACATAGAGATCAATATTTATGTGTAATCATCTCACATTTTATAGTATTGAGAATATAACATGGTTATTTGTAAAACTAGATACTTATTTGTAAAACTGTAAATAAAAGTAGAATTACTCTATTTCATTATTTTCATTCAGTTTGAATTGAGCTTAGTGAAGTTCTCCGCCCCCTTTTTAGACATGTCAGTCTTGATAATAAATTTGTACCTGTAATATAGGGTCATAAGTTTCTAAAGTTTAATGGAGACTCAAAATAGCATATATTTTGAATTTCTTTTAAAAGTAGTTTTATTATGGAAACATTAATGCTCGTGTTAGGAAACACAAAATACAGATGAGAAAAAGAAGACCACTGAAACCAAACCAAACAAAAAATGACACAGAATTCCTATCCATTCGACAATAACCACTCACTGGAATGCATCCTTACAGATCTTTCTGTTTATACATCTCATCAATCAGAGGTAGTAAAACCCATGGAGGATCATTTAATCAGAAAGGGGTTCATTAAAAGAATAGTGGGTTCCACAGAATATTTTGATGGCTCCAAACCAAAACTCACTGTTATCGAGTTGATTCTGCATCATAGCAACTCTATAGGACAGGTAGAACTGCCCCTGTGGGTTTCCAAGAGTGTAGCTCTATGGGAGTAGAAGGCCTCATCGTTCTACCAAGAAGTGAATGGTGGTTTTGAACTAGTGGCCTTGCAATCTGCAGCCCAGCTAGGGAACCTAATTTGAAACTAGGCTCCTAGCTAGGGAACCTAAATTGAAAATCAAGGAAGTCTATACCCCAAAGCCGATCTGGTGAAAACATTATTTTCGCCTTGGACACCAACACAGTAGCCAGCACGGAAGTCACTATCAACTCCGGATGCTGGATGCCACTACCAGAACCATTACCAGTGTCACCTCTGAAGATGGCTGCAACCCTACAGCCATCACCGCCAACACCACCCGGTCCCCACTATGGAGTCGCCCACTTCATTTCATAATTGCAGTCACCCAACCTTCTGCCCAGATTAGAGAAAACGAGTGTAGGACAACCTCAGGGTCTAGGGCCTGACCTATTTTTTTTTATTAAAATAAAATGATTTTAAAAAAACAAAAAACAAAGCAAACAGACAACTTGCCTGTAATTAATGTAACTATCTATCCCCAGTATACCCTCACTGGGAGAAGAGACCAGGAAAGAAGAGAAATCTTGGGTTGGGGTTGGGGAGGAAAGGTGTATCTCTCTCTCTCTCCATCATCCATTCATCCATTTATCTGTATATCTATAATATGGCAGAAAGGAAAATATAAGTGGATACAATGGTCTTCATTTTTACAATTGGTCAAAGACTGTATAGTAGCTATTTATGATTTTCCTCTTCCACTTTCCATTCTATGTTCCTTCGGCTTTTCGCCAGTTCCTGGGCTGATAGGAATTATTTACTCAACAGAGTGACCTGAGCCTTCATTCCTAAAGTGTGTGAGCCTTGGTGCTCTTGAACATCCAGGGCATTTGTACCATTAGACATGGCAATCCTAGTGGAATCCAATTCCAGGTGACCCCTCGTTTCCAGACCACTTCTCCATGACCTTTGATTTTCACTTGGTAGTGATGATTCATCGACTCACACTACAACTCTCTTTTTCCCAATTATTCAAGATGCATGAGGAGCCCCACAGGACTAGGTGGTAGTCGCAGCTTTAAATTCAATGGAACTGTTACTATTTTTTTACTGATAGAAGCCTTAACCCCTTGTGTAACAGCACTTAAATTACCAGAGCCCAGTCATAAGACTAAGAAGCAATGATTTTGCAAGTTCTCTTCCCAATGCCACTTTGACTCTCAGACCTGTATTCTGACCATGGGAGAAAGACATTTCAGTTGTTGGGCAGAGGAAATATGGATTCTTGGAGAAGAGAGTCCAACTGGGAAAGGTGCTCGGATTGTTTCCCATTTGGAGCACGAGATGGTCCCCGTCAGGCTTTCCGATACTTTAGTGTAACGAACAAGGCAAAGAAAGAACTCGAGTGTCTACCCATTGCTTTTTATTTGTTGTAAAATTCATTTCTTTCTTCTTTTTTAAAATAAGTTTCTTGGTGAGAACTTATGTTGAGTGGAATCTCTTGTTGGTGCGTAAAGCGTTCAGTAAATGTATGGCTGTTGAATTTAATTTAATAAGCCGAGAAAGCACATCTGAATCTAGAATTTGATGCTGGCCCAGTAATTTCCTGCCTTTTCTCAAAAGTGGAAGATGGTCTGTGGCATTTGACTCACTCCCTCACTCCACGCCCGTTCTAAACCCTCCACTTGCTTTCCGGAGGCTGGAAAACCAAAGCCACATTTGCCCAACTTCCTGGATGTTTCAACTCATCGAATGTGACAACATGAGATGTGGAAATCCCGCGGGACACCAGAGGGAGAGCTGCTGCTTTTGTCACCACTGGAGGTGGCATCCAGCTAGGACAGCTGGGGCACGGTTCTGGCAGTCAGGTGCTGGGCAGCAGGAGCTGTTGGCAGTGGTGGCCGGGAGAGAAGCTGTGTTTTCCCCCTGGCCCCGTTGTGTTCCTGGCTTTGCTACAATCACAAACCTAACTCATAGCAGGAGCTCAAGTTCAGTGTTAGGTGCCAGATCAGGCTTATGGAGGCAAAATCCAAGGCTCTGAACCCATGCCTGTCTTTCTACAACCATGTGCACAATACTCACGCCCCACTGGAGTCTAAGATGTCAACAACCGCCTATTGATTGGTGATATTGGCATCCCAGACTATTTATTCTTTCAGACAAAGAGGTCAGCAGCATAGATTGTTTAAAATTCTGGAAAAACCCTCCATGAAGAGTTACAGTTTTTTAAACCCAAAGGGGCAGTTCTACTCTGTTCTGTAGGGTTGCTATGAGTCAGAACTGACTCGATGGCAGTGAGTTTTTAAAAGTTGTTCCTAAGTCCTTGCTAAAGTTGTAGCCACTATATGACTAGTGCCAATGTATTGTGTGAGACCTCTATCAGTTAGGCAGTAGTCACCTGAACCTAGCAACCTCCCTATCAGGTCAGAGGGGTAGGTTGAGGAAGAGATGATAGTACAGTAGCAATATGTACCCCAATGGAATTACTGTCTTCAATTTCTTCTGAAGCCCACGCCTACAGAGAAAGCTTCAAGTCTATCATTAGAGATGATGTAACTAGGTGATTAAATCTTGGAGTCCGAGGACCTGGGCTCGAAGCAAGCTCTGTCAGTTATTAGCTATACCAGGGGTCCTCAAACTTTTAAAACAGGGGGCCAGTTCCCTATCCCTAAGACCGTTGGAGGGCTGAACTATAGTTTAAAAGATATATATATATATATA